AACAATCAGGCGTTCTGCAGCTCCTATGGTCTGCTGTGCAAATATTCAGCAGTTTAAAGTGGGACCATGCAACAACAGAAAGAAGAAAAGGAAAGTTAAATTCATAAGCAACACACACACACACACACACACAAACACACACACACACACAGACAGACACACACTCTATTGCTCTTATCTCAATACACTTGTTTTGCACTTTGAGGTGTCACTGATGATGTTCTAAAGCTGTATCCATTTATGTTGTCCCCTTGTGGCTGAAAAAAACAGCAATAACAATAAATCATTATTTACACAGTTGACACAGGAAGTGGAGAAGTGTTTGTGCCCATGTGACAAATTCAAGTTTGCATTCACTTTCTTCAAGCTCTGTTTTTGGTCTCTACCAACTCATATGGGAAACATTGGGCTGTTTAGCTGCTAAATGCGGCTCTATATTCACCAGCTGGTCTCTGACCAAACTTACTAACATGATCCAGCTAGCTGTATGTGTGAATGTATCAGCTGGACTGGGCATTAATCAAACTTCTGCCATCTCCCTGGTCCAAACTCTGTGTAATGTCCCACTGAGCCAATGTGTGAATAGAGCAGGACATTGTCTCTCACAGTGAGTTAGAGGACGGATGTTGACACAACCACTCTGCTAAACCAAATGGAATAATTCCAGTAGGTGAGAACATGTCTCACAAGGACAATCTCCAGTTGTGCACTGGATGTGTGAAAGGTAAACTCTGGACAATGTCCAGACCTCATTCTCTGATCATTTTGAAGTTCATATGTCAAAATGGCTTAACTATGTTTGTCTGTTGTTTGGTGTTTGGCAGGTTGTGTAAGTTGGTTTACCAGAGCCTTTCAATAAAAACATCGGCCTGTTGCTGCTGCTTGAAAAGAGGGTAATAATAGCAGGGTTTCGAAAAAACAAAAACTACAAAAATCAAACTCTGAGGGATTTGACTGATGATTTTTTCCGGGTTAGTCACTAACTGCAACCCTTTTCACATTAGACAGCATCAATAACTCCATTGTTCATATATGGCAACGTGTCCCGACTTACAGTATTTACATTTCATACAGTGCAAACACTCCAAGATCCTGAAAATCAATCGTGGCCAAATCTGGATTATGACTACAGACTTTAATTCCCACTGTGTGTTCTGGACTTTGACAGACTCCATTCAATTATGAAAACATGGATGAGAAATTTCAACAATCTAATGGAAACAAGATGTGGATTAAATGGTCCTGGGTGAGATAATAAGGAAAAGGTTTACTCACTGTATAGAATACAAATGTTTTATATAAAGATTTTTGATTCTATGAGTCATAATGAAAAAGTCAACAGAGAGAATTTGTGTTCAAGTCTTTAAAAAATAAATAAAACAATAAAATATAACACAAATATGAAAGATATAACCCTGACATGGAAAGTGCTGTGATGAGTCAAAGACAAAAGAAAAAACTCTTGACATGCTAGTTTCTCTGTGAGGCTGCACTTTAGTACAGTGGTGCTTTGAAAATCTCATGGTCACACGCCAGGGAAACTCCCAAGAACGTTAATGTCAATTGGAGTCACTGCTTGGAATCTATGAGCCTCTGCACCAAGTGTTGTACCAATACATTGTTAAGATGTCAACTGACCGAAACATTGACATCCAAAGAGACGTGACTCTGTAATGGGTAAAAGCTGCTGCACTAAGAATATGTGGAAGATAAATTACTTAAGAGGGAATCAATTGTTGTATTGATTTACAATAGTTTAATGTACATGGAATAAATCCCAATTTGAACTTGCTGCACTTCATTTTTCAGAAACTCTGACCAAGTAGGAGGATGCTGAATTCTGAGGAGGATGTTCCGGAGTTTAACTTGGACAACGATTCTCAAAACTTTTATTTTGCAGATTCAGATTACCAGACCATCATATGAGATAGTATATCAGGACCGACTTGACTATGGATCTGGACATCAACACTGTCATTCACAGTGATACCAGTGTCAGATCAGTTCCTCAGTTGGGTCTGGTCTGAAACTTTTCTTTGAGTGAGACTAATCTGCTCGGCTGTGTGTCTGTAAGGTTACAGGAAAGAAAGCATTAAACATTTTCTTTTCTGCATGTTTCATATCAGCCAGATCATTTGTGTTTTATTATGCGCCATGGAAACAATCTTCGTTTGTTTCGATTAAATTATGACTCATTTCCCTGCTCACGCTCACAGTTTTGGCTTTGCTTTTTCAGAACCCTGTGTGTAAGTGTGTGTGAGTGTCCGTCTCCATCTTGTCCAGTCATCTTTGTTTGGTTTTTTTGTCTCCATCTGTTTCCAATACCTCACCGATGGACGTGGTTTCAGATCAGTTTCACTAGGGTCACCAGCCTGTCAGGTAAAAAGCTCATCATCAGCCAATAGTAACACAACATTTCATGTTATCAGTGTTAATTTTTCCCTGGCATTTAAGCTTCTTTGTTTTCTGTCCACAGTTTTTCAATGGTTTATTAAAACTAAACATTTCATTGATTTGTCTTGAGAGTTAAAAACCCCCTGACATCTGAGGATAATAGTGTGTGCTAAATTGCATACAGATGTGCTCAGGAGTTTGTGTGTGAGTGTGTGTGTGCATGTGCGTGTGTGTGTGTGCGTATGTGCGTGTGTGCGTGTGTTTCATTTGGCAGAGCAGAATATGCAACAGACAGATTATTTGATACCATACATATGATCCTCTGTTGTCTCAGCAACTACTGGACAATTTCAGGTTCCTCAGAAAATCCTTTAGTCCTGAGAGTTCCACTGACCTTTTCTCCAGCGTCATCCTGAGGTTCACATTTGTGATGTTGAGTCTAATGTGTCAGCAACTATGAACTTTGAACTGAAAGTGTAACTATCACCTTCTTTGCTTAACAATCTAAGAAGATTCACATTAGCCTCAGTTGTAATTCGAGTAAATTTATATTTTTTTGTTTGTTGTTGTTGTACTCGTTTTGGCCACAAGAGTATGCAGCGCTCTGTCAAATGGACTGAGCTGTGTCATGGTCAGGTTGATAGACTTGTTTGCTGTCCTGAGTCCATACAGGTTTCTCTGCTGTGCACTCTGTTTGTGATATTACCAAACACACGCACACACCCTTACAACACTATCGCTAACAAAGGATTTGTATAGGATGGTGCGCTTTTGGATGAACAGGTCCTGGACCAGTTTCTTCCTGAAAAGTTATTTTGGTTGTGACCTTTATCATTTCCTATATTTGATATGATAATAAAGTGAATAAAATCATGAAGAAATAAAAAGCCAATGCTAACTCAATACTTCGTCAGAACAATGGTTCTAGGTTGCCATGCATTTTGTGACGGCTCTGCCTGTAATGACAAAAATAAATATTATACATTTTAAACTAATAATACAGATTTCAATAAATGGATTACCCTGTAATGAATAAGGGACAAGAGAAAATGTTTAAAAATGATATGGAGACGACCAACCATTCACGCTCACATCGACACCCTAACCCAAACTGTATGTGTTCGATCTGTGACTTCTGGGAAATCAGAGTGACCAGAGAGAACAAACTCCACACAGACAAGCTCTGGTCGGCCGGCAGGTTTTAACCCGGAACCTGATGCATTAATATGGTTAGATTCCTTCAAGGCCTCTGCAGGATGGCAGCAAGTAACATTTAATATCGTCCATCTTTGGCTGAGAGACAGTTTGACCTCTTCTAGCTAAACTCGAGAAATTACCTCTGTCAATCATAACATTTCCACAAAGAAATTTTGGGGGAAACATTTTTAATGAAATTGTTGTATGTATATATTTTCGTATAAAGCATGATTGTTTTTATTTCACTGCCTGCTTAGTCTTTGAAGATGAGGTAGCAGCAAAGAGCTCTTTTCAACAAATATAAATCCATGTTCACAATCAGGTGGTAAAAAGTTTTTTTGCACCAAAGCATCACAACCAAGATGTTGAAGATGGTAAACTTTGTAATCAGCTTGTTGTCTAAGTGCTGTAGCATGGCTGTAGACTCATCATCATGAAGTTACGTCTGTCTGCAGTTCTCATGCTGTGTGAACCCTCTGCAGGAAGTTGTCTTTCAGTCATAAAATGGAGATGAGCACAGCAGTTCTGCTCTCTGTATCTGCATAACAACACTCTTTACTTGTACGACCACGTCATTCTCTGTTGCTCCTACCTTCCACCCAACACTTACTGTATCACAAACAGCAAATAAAGAGTAATTCATGATTCAAGATGTATGAGGAACGTTTGGTCTCTGAGTGACGCTCACAAACTGTACTGCGATGCTTTGTTTTCTGGTCTATATCCAACGATGTGATAAATCAGCGGCACATATTCCAGAAGTCTGGAGACCAGAAGACTTCTGGCCGGGATAAGAAGGAGGGAATGGATTGACCACCTCTCCATTTCAAAAACTGATGTTCAAATTCTTTCACTTGGTTTCAAAAGCACTTCATGATCTTGCACCAACATCTTTCTTCTCAGGTACCTTTGGCATGAGTCTGAGTTATAAACCTTTGGTAATGCAGCTTTAACCCCCCCCCATTGTTTACTTTTTTTATTCTCTTATCCAATTGAATCAATGTTGTACATTTTTTATTGATTTTATCTGATTTTATTGATTTTATCAGATTTTTTTTTTGTATCCTATATTGTTGTCCTTACGATTTTTAAAATCTACTCCCTCACTGTCACTGTCCTCACCATCAGATGGAAGAAACCACTTAACTGCACAACGTTTGCCCCTTTCAGACAGAACATGTCCCTGCTGCCAATATTGCCTGGTGAGTATTGCATTACTATTACTGGTAATAGTTTTACATCATAATATATATAAACATGTTGCTGTCCATAGCTGAATGCAGCCGTAAGGCTCAAGGTCTACATGTTAATCCACAGTAGTGATAAATAAGTTAATTTTCTGCTGCCAGCATTAAACTTTAAGGGAATAAAGAGTTAAGTCATATAAAATGAAACAAGGATCCAATGAATCAATATAAAAGCGTTTATCAAAATAAGTTATAGTATAATTACAGTAGAAAATAATAAACATTTGTAAGTATTGACATTAATCTCAGTCCTGAACACTAGAGCAGCTCTACAGTGCCACTTTGAGCGGAGCTCAGTCCCTCAGTGCAGGCCTACATGTAGTAGAGGTGGTGGGGCAGCGGCAGCAGCGGCAGCGGCGCGGGGAGCTGCAGGTGGCGGCAGAGCAGCGGCCTGCAGCTCGGACAGGAGCAGAGAGCGGGGTGGGAGGTGAAGGACGCCGCGAAGCCGCGCTCCTCCTCCGGCTCGCTGCCCTGCACACGCTCCTTCTTCCACTTGGTGCGTCTGTTCTGAAACCAGATCTTCACCTGGGTCTCTGAGAGGCGGAGGGCCGTGGCGATGGTGTGTCGCTCCAGCACCGACAGGTAGTGGCACCGGCGGAAGCTGCGCTCCAGGACCTGCAGCTGCTCCAGGCTGAACGCGGTGCGGATGCGTCGGCTCTTTTTTGCCTTTGACTCGTCGAGCTTCTCCGGACTCAGAGCCTCCTCCTCCGGGCTGCAGCTTTCACCTGCCGGGGGGTGCTGCTTCTCTCTGGGTCCATCCCTTTTTGTGGAGGCTCCTAAAATAAAACAAATTCATTATGAAAAATTACTTTAGAAAATATATTTAAAGAAGAGAAATGTTTGTGAGTTATCTACAATCAGCACACACATGGTCCACAAAAACCAAGTTTGACTCTCACCTGTAGCTGCTGCGTCTTCACAACAGAATATTTTCCTTGTAAATTTCGTGGGGTCCAAAATATCCTCCACAGAAAAAGGTGTTCTGTGCACAAGCGGTAGTTTGGCTGCAAGTGGCTGCATTTCAGCTGAGGACCGACCAGGACGCATGTGGCTGTGCATGCGCTCCCCCCAGATGTTTATATGGGCTCCGCAGTCTGCGCACACGCCGCCGGAGCATGACATTTACATTTCATTCAAAATAAAGCAACGCGTCCTGCACGAACAATTGTGGCCCCTGTCATTCCTGCAGGACACGCTCCGGCCCCTGGTGGACCCCCGTGCCGGCACTTCAAAATGTAAATGCCCGCTCTCAGCTGGAGAGAGAGAGGGGGCACCGAGCCTGTTATTTATTGCCGGGCATCTGGTTAAAATGTGCCCCCTTTATTCCCCTCCGTGTTCCTCATTGTGCTTTGGCTTGTCATTATTTGCGAATGTGAGATTTTACGCTGGTAGGACACGTGAACGCTGGTTGTGATGCTAATTGATGGACTCATCAAAGGGGGAAAGTTTGCGCCTTTTCTCCCTCGTGCTCCAGTTTCCACTGTTTCCATTTGTCCCGTTTACTCCTCACAAAGCGCGTAGGTTTAATGAGAAGCCCACTAACAACTTTATGAGAGCTACTGACCATCTGATCTTTGCAGCCACTTGTAGCCATACTGGCTGAGACGTGGCATAAATCAGATTTAAAAGTTCCATTACTGTTGATGATTTTACACCAAACCTCTCCACTGATTATTTGACAGTCCTGAACACTCGACGTGACGCAGAAGCATAAACTAGGCTTTAGTCTATCATTGATGGGGAAAAGAATTGACATTTTGAATTGATTTGAAGTCATTTATCAAGCATATGGATTTTCTGTCGAAGATAGTTCAAATCTAAACATGTCCAGATTCCAAACAACCCATTTAAAGCTCAATTTTCTTTAATTTATAATAATCAGACATTCAGAAATATTGCTAAATCTTATATTCTGAATCATCAGAACGAATGTGAATTGTGTGTCATGTTTGTGTGACTAGGTTCTCAAGAAGAGAAAGAAACTATACAAAGAAGTGATATTCGATTTATTTCCACTCGAATGCACCATTTTCCTCAAATAAATAACACAAAGAGCTGTATTTGGAATTTTTGTGGCTGTCGAGAATTTGCCAAAGACACAAAATCAGTCAGGCTGAGACAGTTCTAATGGAGAGTAATGAGTCGAGTAACTGAAAAATGATTATATAAAAAGTTATTATAAGGCTTCATTAAAGAGCTTCAACAACATAATACAGAACATGTGCAATACTACCAGACAATGAGATCATCTCTCCAACTTTGAAGGTGAAACTTAAGTTAGCTGAATGAGTGCATCTCTGTGGGTTTAATACAGAATTTAACAATTTCAGTGTCAGTCAATAGAGCACACTTTACAGGCATTTAAATTGATAATAAATAAATATACTTTATTTTTACAGCACTTTTAATAGACAGAGTTTTCAAAGTACGCAAAGCAAGACAAGTAAATGTAAGAGAAACAACAATTGCAAGGAGCCCAGACAACCGGTTGGTTGGAAACAAGGAAGTGTTCAAATCAAATAAATAAATATAAAGCTGTGTTACATGAAATCGAAAACACATGGAAGCAGTAATATGACAATAAAAATCATGAACAAGTAAAAGAAAATTTGAAAAGAAAAAAGGAAAAAGACATCACATGAAAGCAAGTCTATGAAAATGGGTTTTAAGACGTGATGTTACAGTTTAATCTTTACATGGTTCCTGCTTTGTTGGCTCCACAGTTGTATCTGCCTCCAGTGGCTTCATTAACCCTAAACTGTCCCATCCTTAAACCTACATTATCAGATATAGTTTCCTAATGCACGCAATCACCGCTCCTCACAAAGTGAAGGGGGGAGCCACAGGGGTTGGAGTCGGGGGGTAAATGATCTTATGGAGGTAGAAGTCATAAAGGTGGCAGCTGCCTGTGTGTCACAGCTCCAGACACCTACAGTGAGACTGGCATTGAAGGGACAAGAGAGGGCGGCCCATCAGGACAATTAGCAAATGTCACCAGTAAGCTTGACCCTCTCTGACCCTGGGCTTTGTTCCACAGGACAGGGGGAAATGGATAGAGTCGGGGGGGAGTCAAACATGACTCTCTCTCCCTCTTAACATATTACCTTATATTTTGAGTGGGAAGACATGGTGTTAGATTGGTGTTAGAAATAGATGTGTGTGTTTTTTGTGCTCTGCATGAACTGGTGGAGAGAGCAAATATTGAAAGAAGAAGTAGAATAGCCCTGTCACTGATATACAATATTATTATTACTGGTGCATGAACATCTGTGCAGCATTTTAATGTTGTAGTTGGTTGAGGTGGATATTATTTTATCCTCTTTATAGGCCGTTGTGTTGTTCATCTTGAAACGTGCATCACAAGCTTCATACATGTTTTATATGTTGTGGCATGCACTCAGGGCCGAAGGGCTTGTTTTTCTACCCTCCTGCTTTTCTGTTTCTCTCCCTCCTGTTTTTTTTCCCGTCCAGGTTTAAACAATGTGATTAGCCTCCACCTGCAGCAGACTAGTCAAACCTGCTCATTGATTATCTTCATCAACATCCACCCAGAGGGAGGTGCTCTTTCTGTCTAGATCACTTCGCTTGTATCTTTCAGTTGCGGTCTGAATACGGCCTCTTTTTCACCTGAAAATTTGCAAGACCTTAATTGTACAACTAAAGAGAGTGACTTCTTCATGAAAGAATGCTGTAACAAATGAGGATATGATTATAAATGACATGTTGTTCAGCAACTCCAAAGATAATAACACGTGTCCAAAAAAATATATATATACCCCGACCATACAACCAGAACCCTCTGTGATCCCACTGAGACAAAATAGAGGGACGCTTGATTGCCAGTAATACATGAGCCTTTTATCAGTAGAATATAAAAGCATCTTTAGAAGGAGATGAACAATAGTGGCGAGATGGATCAGAAGAAAATCCCAATCCAAATTTAAGATCAGACCTGGAAATATCTTTATATGAATAATATCAAGTAGGAGAAGGACAATCAAATCTATTATTTTCCACAACATATGAAGTAAAAAGAAGTAAAACACATCTGATTACTTCACTGATTTACAGGGTGCATCACACACACTATCCCAACGTCACAGATGTGTTTCCATTGCAAGAGGAAAGGGGAGGAGAAAACGCTGCTATTATCTACCTAACAATGGGTTAAAGGCATTTATTGAAGCACCCAGGGGTGTTCTTAGCATTCCCTGAGCTCTTTTGTGAAATGTCCTCTGGCACACTTGCCTTTGTGCTCAACTCATCTTTACATGTTCTGAAATGGCCCCTACAAATGTCTAAATAACGTTTGACTTTCAGAAAGTGCGTGGGGTGGTCTCGTGTCACCACAAAGCTTTTTACAGTGCACTGCCCTTTGACTCTAATCAGTGAATGGAGGCAATAAAAGTAAAAGACACGTTTGCACATTCGAAAACCTGTGGATGTTAATGTCAGGACAATGATGAACACACTTTTTTTTAAACATTTCTATGTTATAGTTTCAAGCAAAGTGTGTGAAGAATTGTGGAGTGGGTCAAACAATTTGAAAAAAATCATTCTGATGAAAAAGATTTCCACATGCTGCAGTTTAATATTCGGATAGGAACTCAGATTTATCCCAAATGAAATGTAATAATACATACCATGCTTGTGGTAACCTCAGATTCAGCAGATGAAACACACTTTGCACAGTAAAATGAATTTGAATGCACATTAATAGATTAAATAAAGCAAGATACATATAGAGAATGATTGATAATGCTGTACGAGTAGGTTTCCACATGAATCCTCAGCACCCAGTTTCCACCAAGCAAAATCCCTGGCTTCCACTCTTACACATAAACAATGTAATTTTCTCCCACCCAAGCACAAGCCACATATTCAGCTCGACGTGACTAAACTGAGGAAAACAACACAGGAGGAAAATCTCTTTTCAGCAACGAGTAAACTTTGTTCTTTATGTTCTTAAGAGCATAAATGCATAACATGAAATCACATCCCCATTAAAAGGAAAAATCGAATAGTTCTATTCTTAAATTGCACACACACACACACACACACACACACACACACACACACACACACACACACACACACACACAAACACACACACACATACAAACACACACTTACAGTCCTATGTCTTTGTTTATTTCGCCTCTTTGATTTTGTTGTTTCTCTCCTTGTTTTTTGCTGAACATTATTACTGGTGTTGTGTGTAGATTCATTAATAGCCACAACAAATTCCTTGTATGCATCATATAAATGTACATATATATAACTATATATATATATGTACATTTATATTTGGTCCCTAGCAAAGACTAAATTACTTTACCAACAAATTTGACTCTAAAATAGAATAAGTGCAGTTCACCTTTGAACCTGTAGTGTCGCTGTAACGTGGTACCACGACCGGATGTGCTCGGCTCAGTCGTCTCTCGCGATGTTTTTTTGTTTTCATTGATTTGAAACATGGCGTCTGAGGTTGAGGCGGGGAGCGCTGCTGCAACCGAACCGGAGAGCGGAGAAGGGTAAGTCTGATTCACGCAGGAGTGTTGCTACCGGCACTCACGAGCAGGACGTGACAGCGGTCCTTCGTGAAAAGTCAAACCGCAGAAATGCTGTCGCGTTTTTCAGCCACACAAGCTGCTAATAGCAGACTGGCTAGCTAGCTAACACCAGCGATGCACAGACTCACCCTCCGAACCATTCAATGTTACAGTTGATCTCTTTAGCTCTCAATGAAGAGAAAACACCTCTAGCTTAGAAGATGACATTTAAATGGTACGTAGTCTGCCGGGGAACTGAAGTCTTTGAGTCTGATGATAACGGATCTCTGACAGTAACATAAGAGCTCTCACGCCAGATTCCCTTTGAATAATGTCAGTTTTAACCAACACGTGAAGATGACATATTTAATAAGATGATTTGAAGTTAACTTTTGTAGGTATCTGGATAAATGTCTAGTCATGTGATCAATCTATGCTGACTTCCAGGGATGCTGCATTTGGGGAACTACCCACCAGCATGGATACTGAATCTTCAAATGGCAAAGATGGAATGGTAACATCCCAAGATCTTATTATTTTATTACTTTTTTAACCCTTGTATATTTTGTATTACACTGCAGTGTTGTGGATTAGTGCTCTGACTTCTCAAATGTGATGTTTACTGATGTATATACACTTAATGTCTTTGCTACAAATATTAATACAAAAGCTGTTGTTCTTGACCCAGGAGGCAGCCGGGGAGGGCTCTGAGCCTGCTGATGCTCTGACTGGATCAGGAGATGAGGAGAGTGGGAGGCAGCTGGGGGAGGTGGAGCTGCAGTGTGCCTTGTGTATGAAGTGGTTCACTGCAGACACGTTTGGCATCGACACTGCGTATGTAGAGTAAATCATTTATTCAGCTGATGCTCAATGAAACATCTGCAGTTGTGTTTTCACACTGAGTTGTAATTGTTCATCCATCTCCTCTACAGGACCTGTCTTCCCTTTATGACCAATTATGTGTTTCACTGCAACGTGTGCCATCACAGTGGCAACACATACTTCCTGAGGAAACAAGCAAGTAGGTGATTTGTGTGTTGTAACCTACAATCAGTGTTAGCATCCTTAGTGTTTTCGATCATTTTGTAAACTGATGTTGCTTTTTGTGTTCAGACCTGAAGGAGATGTGTCTCACAGCCCTGGCAAACCTCACATGGAGATCCAGATCACAAGACGAGCACCCAAAGACCATGTTTCCCAAAGACAAGGTGAGCTTAATACATTTTCGGCAAATGTGCAGATGTGGTGTCCAATGGTGGACAGGATGTAATATACAGCTTTTTAGATAAACTTATTGACATGATATTGAAAATGACCTGGCAACCGGGCTAACCACCGCACTGCCTCCATAGATGAAATGATAAATCACAAGTTATAGCAGATGAATTGGTTAGAAAAAATAATCATCATTCATTATTGTAACTTTTTTTGATTATGCCACAAACTGGCTAGATCTGTACATAAAGGCATAAAGTGTTATGTCAAAGATTCATTCACTCTTAGTGCAAGTTCAGGTAGTTCTGTTTTTATAAAATTACTAAATTAATTGATTTTGTGATTCTGTTAATGAATCAGTTATTTATGTATGAATACACACACACACCATACAAAATATATGGTGCAGTTTCATGAAATACAAAGATCTGCACAGTTGAAGGTTGAACTCACCTCAGTTTGTTGCACTTCACTTGATGTACATCAAGAGAAAGAAAGTGGCATTGTGCAGATATGACTGATGAACGAGTGTTGTTGTTTACTCCTGGAAGACTTTTCATTCATGGAACTATTTGTCGGTTTCTTGTAATTCTTTGTTGCAGGATATCATACCATTCATTGACAAGTACTGGGAGTGCATGACAACTCGTCAGAGACCGGGGAAGCTCACCTGGCCCAACAACATAGTGAAAACAATGGTAATGTTGTGGTGGTCCGGGAAACGAAATCCAGCTCACAGAGAATTCAGAGATGGTGCTTCTAAACCTTCATGTAAAAAGCAGTTAATGGCAGAGAAGCCAGTGAGGAGAACTGTTGTGGTCTCACTCTTCCTTGCATGTGGCTTAGCTTTAGTGGTTTTGCAGTTTCCAACTTTTGAGTCATTTGCATCATAGGATGAGTGTTAGAGGACATTCCCATGTGGATTAAAAACAACATGGCATGAATACTGTTATAGTACAGTATTGGTACTTTTGTTTATTTTCTAGAGCAAAGAGCGGGATGTCTTTCTAGTGAAGGAACACCCTGACCCCGGCAGTAAAGACCCAGAGGAGGAGTACCCAAAATTTGGCTTGTTGGACCAGGTATTTACCACTCAGCTGCTCTATTTATATACCACTATGTTTGCGAATTTGTGCTGTAAAAACCAAACGATGTTTGTATACAGATCTAATGTATAACCTCAGCTTCTGTTACTCTTCTATAGGACCTGGGAAACATTGGACCCTCATATGACACACAGAAACAGGCCACTGCTGCTCCTACTGCTGGTGGACTCAATGGTAAGAATGTGACACAATATCAAATCTAACCTCGGAAAAAAAGGATCATTTCTACTTGTAGGCCATTTTCACAGTCTGTTTAAAAAAACAAAGGCCAATGGGAAGAACTGTTAAAGGGTGTGTGCTTCCACACCTGTACTTTCAAAAGTTATCCTTTATTGCTTTTAACGTCAGGTCAAGATCACACAGGAGAATGTAAGTGGACATCATCATGTATACTGACAAACGGAACCAAAAATAGGTCTTTTTTCCTGTAATATGACTCCTTTTTCAGTTTTTGAGGGACTTGGACAAAACCATTGCCCTCTGTATAAGTCCACTTGGAAGCCGACCAAAATCTGTCTTTTCCGGACGTCTCATGTCTGGTTTTGTCTTCACCACAGACCAAAAAGCTGCGCGAAATATACAAAGACTGCAAACTTTGTTAGAACTAAACTAAACAAGTTAGGTGTGGAAGCACCCTTCAAATAAAGTACAACAGCCAATACAAAAGTCAGTGTAAATCCCCCACATTTAGAGCAAGGCTGTGTCCACACTACTATGTTTCAGTTTTAAAATGCATCACTGTTGCTATTTTTACGGCTGACATCCACACTACGAGCATGTGTTCATGAATGTTCGAGCACCTAAAAGGGAGAACTTTAGAAATACTGTCGGTAATAAAGTTAAAACTCAAGGTCTTTGCATTTTGCTCTCAATGGGCACTGAGAAACTGAGATGTTTTGAAGAAGCACACTTACTCTCACACAATCTGTTCCCTAATTACACCGGCACGCACATGACCAGTGTATGTGAATAGTCATGTGATGTGTTTTCACACATTTAGTATGGGTTTGTATTTTAAAGCTAAAAGGTATTAGTGTGGATGTAGCCCAAGATAGTTTTACATGTGATGACCATGGTGACTCTGTGCGTTGTGTTCCAGGTGGATCTGCTTTCTCAGGTGACTATGTGGTATTTTGGCATCCGGAACTGATCAGTGTGTTTTTTTTGTCTTGTAACCCTCTGGATAGAAGTTGGCCCTGAGGTTCCAATCAGACTTGAGTTTGCTTTTTCCCCTCAATCCAAACCAAACTCCATCTAAACTGATCCTCAACAAGCAACTTGTGGGCAACTTCATCCATGTTCAGTTGTAACCTCCCTGTCTGCTCTCTGCGTCTGTTTGGTGCCTCCCTCCCAAAAGCTTTGCCCCCCCCCCACCCTTTATCGGTGAACATATCTTTCTCGTCTCTTCCGGCTTGCTGTTAATGAGCCCTGAAATCTCTACAAAACAACTCCTCACCGAAATGACAATCTGCCCTCCACACCACGACACACATGAGAGCAGAGTGCCATTTTTCATGTGTGCCATTTGGCTTTCATCCAATGCTGATTAGCCTCATCCTCTTCCTTCTCCTCCTGTGTTTTGGTTTCAAATGTACATAATTCAGCTAAAATGTAATCTGACTTCATTACATGTAAATCCAAAATAAGTTTAAAACCCTAAATAAATGTTTTAAATCAAAATTACTCCTGACACTCCAATGTTTAGATGTTTGTGGGTGGTAAGAATGTTAAAATCACTTCATGTGATGTTAATGCACTGACTCAAGTGAGCACAAATGGACATTGAGTAAGTTTTAACGACCAAAGACTTTTCTTGGTGGATGTGAACAACTTTGTTTTCCACACGAATACAGTATTTTGTGGACTATTTGAATGTGTGTAGTATCTGAACTATAGCCTGGGCTTTGTTTTGAGGTCTTTGTTACTGGGTAGATGATCATTTGTAAGAGGAATGACTGAAATAGTTTTAAACTCTTCTTCTACACTATCTTTAGTTTTCCATATAACAAGTGTAATTCCTGGAAGGAGGATGAAGTAAGCCCCAGCCCTTGGCTGTGGTTTTACTCACTGACGTAACAGTGCAGCAGGTTCGAATTGAAGAGGGATCATAAGAGGCTGATAGTGTTTGGAAGACGCCATGCAAACTAATTCCTGCCTTTCGTGCCTGCTATTTCCCTGTGTATACCAAACGCCTAATAACCTGCTTTCACTGAGTGTGTAAGTTTGTGCGTTTGTGTTCGTCCGTGTCCTTCTGTTCAGCAGTGTAATCTGCGGTCTGTTTTTGAAGGTGCTTTGGCCCCTGGTCCAGGAAAAGGAAGAGGAGCTAAACGTAAACAGCAGCAGCAACAGGAGGGCACAGCTGCAGGGGCCACCAAGAGAACCCGCAGGTAATGAGATCTGTCAGTCAACACTGACCATGCACACAATGGGGATACCCGTAGATGATCTGTTGTGCTCATGTGTGGCTCCTCTTTTTCATCCTGAGATGTTTGTATTCTTTCAGTTTAGCATACTGTTGTCATCATCATCAACACGCCCACATGGTCACTTTGAAAATGAACTTTAGATTTGCAAGCCTTCAGCGAGGAAAGAGATATTGGAACAAAAATAAACATGATAGAAGAAAAGTACTTAGTAGCACCAGTGATCCTCTGACTGTCACCACAAACCCTCATTTTTTTGCACAAGCCAGATGCATTTTGTTTACTTTCTTGAATCTTATGCTGAAAGTGGTTTGTTGTGTGTGCTGACAAAGGATGTCACCAGATGACATTTTGGTGCCACGATCGTCCGAGGAAATATCACGGCTTCACGGTTTTCACAATTATCGATACTATAGAAGAAAAAAGATTCACAACAAGCAATACATAGCTAATAACATAGCTTATGAACCAAAATATTTATTATTATCATCAACTTTATCCAGTTAGTTTTTATAGTGTAATGTTTATCTATCTAAAAGTAATTTATGTGCCTTATTGTGGAAGGTTGGTCACCAAATGTGTTTCCTGTCATAAGCTGTGTATCTGTATTGGAGTTTCTCCACTGACACACACACCGCTGATCAGAAACCCAAAGTAAAACTCTTTAGTTCCCTCGTCTCCACTAACGTTTCAGTGGCTCGCGCACACAAAACGTGACTCGCGAGAGGCAAGACACCATAGTTAGATATCGTAGTTTTATCAATTCATACTGTTATGAAATCGTGACGTTATCACACCGCAGTTTTCGTAAAATCAGTTAATCCCGTCATCCCTAGTGCTGACCTGCTACACAATGACAGATATCTGTTGCGGTGATAGGAGGATCTTAAGATGCTGTGCGCCGATCGAATCAGGAAACTTTCAAACAATGTAGTATTAGTCGAGCACAAGCCAAAACACAAGACTGTTCCACAAGGGAGACACTGTTTTCCAAATGAATGAAGAATTATAAATAAACTTGTATTCCTCTTCCTCCCTCAACACAGTGATCCTCTGTTCTCGGCCCAGCGCCTGCCTCCTCATGGTTACCCACTGGAGCACCCCTTCAATAAAGATGGATACCGTTATATCCTGGCAGAACCAGACCCTCATGCTCCCGACCCAGAGAAGCTGGAGCTGGACTGCTGGGCTGGCAAACCCATACCTGGTGATCTGTACAGAGCCTGTCTCTATGAGAGGGTGCTGCTGGCCTTACATGACAGAGGTACTTAGAAGTCAGACACTCATTTCTAGCAAAGTGGCTGATCTAGATTTTGACTTACCCAACAATTTGTTTAGGCCCATTGCTTTATCATTTTACACATTTCATTAAAACACGTCATTAAAAGCCAGCAAATTTATTTATGTAAAGCCAAGTTCACACTACACGACTTTTAAAGTCATTGTATCGCTGTGCAGTTCACACTAAACAACAGAAACTTGAGTTTCTGTTTCTGAGCAGATTCAGATTTGATGTCAGTTTATCAAAATGCTAACTTTTTTGTGATCAAGCTGTGCTGCAGAATCCATTTGTATTTGATGTGTATGAACCTCCTCTTCATGTTCATGTTGCAGCGCCTCAGTTGAAGATCTCTGATGACCGTCTGACAGTGACTGGAGAGAAGGGCTACTCCATGGTGCGAGCATCGCACGGCATACGGAAAGGCTCCTGGTTCTTTGAGGTTTCTGTTGACGAAATGCCCGCAGAGACCGCGGCTAGGCTCGGCTGGTCTCAACCGCTCGGTCAGTATCTGCTTCATCCCCACTCTGACCTCTTTGCCTTTAGTGATTATGCGCTCTGGTGTTCAGAGTTGAAATCCCAAAATTGAAGTTTTAATTTCCAACAAGTCATTTTAATTTCTCAGCTGAACTATTATACCACAGTGTAACTCTACTGCATTTATATGGACCATAGTTATTGTATTGATAATGAACACATGAGTGCACTCAGAAGGGACAGCAGGTGCCCAAAACAAAGGTTGTACCTGATATTGAAACTTATTTTATTTGTTCTTAATGATGAAAATGGCCAAAGTCAACGTGCGCTGTATGTATGTTGTGTTGTTTTTTGAAATAGTATAGTAAAGCATTTTATTTTATTCTGTTTGACAGGTAACCTGCAGGCACCTCTGGGTTATGACAAGTTTAGCTACTCGTGGCGTAGTAAGAAGGGCACGCGGTTTCATCAGTCCATTGGAAAGCATTATTCCTCCGGCTACGGTCAAGGAGACACGCTGGGTTTCTTCATAGAGCTGCCCGATGGCACAGAGACATCCAAGGCTCTGCCAGATACATACAAGGACAAGGTAACACCTGAGAGATATTGAGAACTAATAACTGTCAACAGGTTGTTAGTCTGACACCTTTTCTTGCTCCGCTGTGATTACAGGCGCTAATCAAGTTCAAGAGCTACCTGTACTTCGAGGAGAAGGACTATGTGGACAAAGCAGAGAAAAGTCTCAAGTCAATGAGTCCCAGCAGGGTCAGGAAACTCCTCCAAATTATAATTCGGTCAGAAATAGCTGGCAGTATTGGCTGCTTTTAAGTTGTGGATCCTGTTTTTCAGATGATATTCTATAAAAATGGAGTGAGCCAAGGTGTTGCCTTTGAAAACCTGTTTGAAGGCATCTACTTCCCTGCCATCTCGCTCTACAAAAGCTGCACGGTCAGTACACGAGACGTGGTCATGACTTCGACGCCCTCCTAATTTTCTACCCAGTTAAAGTTGACCTCTGTCTCTTTACAGGTTTCAGTCAATTTTGGGCCACATTTCAAACACCCGCCGAAGGACATCAAGTATCAGCCGGTGAGACCATCGCTTCCTCTGTGTAGAGGACTTTACAAACCTCAGGCTGTGTCCATTCTGAAATCTTTTCCTCTGAAAATGTCCCGTGTGTTCATGTAAACAAGAAGATTCTCTCTTTAGTTGGTTGCTTAGTTGTAGAAAATACTACAGATAAGAAACGTAAGAGCAGCTGGGATTTCTATGTTTGGACCACTGTCAAGGTGGGACTGTTACTGAAGCTGTTTTCAGACATGAGCTGCGGGTAAAGTCTGGGGACCCAAACTTACACAACACAGCTGAGCTGGAGGTTCTCTGCACTCATGTGTTCACAACAGCAACAAAGCCTCCATATTTTTTAGGCGGAGCAGCCAGGTGCAGCAGATGGAGACAGGAAGTAACGATATATTCTGCTGCAGAGAACATGTTATCACCACAAATCCAGCGGGGGATACCCAACTGTGTTCTTTCATCGGATTCTCCTGACTTTCCTGATATTAGGGGTCCAAGCAGAGAAAGACTGCAGATAATCTGGAGCCTCTCACTCGGACATTTGCGTCCACACATGCTTTCTCCACATGTCGTGAGTTCAGTGCATGTCTGAAAGCAGCTTGACAGTGTTAGCATCACTTGGCATTCCAAATTACACTAGCTATTACACGATCAATCATTTGTGGAAGTTTTTGTCCTCCTCTCAGATGAGTGACATGGGCTGGGGAGCTGTGATCGAGCACACGCTGGCTGACATGCTGTACCACGTGGAGACCGATGTGGACGGCCGACGCAGTCCTCCCTGGGAAGGATGAATCCTGCTTGAATTCAGTACACACCCTCCTCACGAATAAAAAAATTGTTCCCCCTCCAGGCTGTGAAATAAAAGCCCCACACGGTGCAGTGAGCTGTTGGCCCATAAAGTAAAAAAAATAATGAATTTGTCTTGAAGTGATTCCTCGCAGCGTTTGATGGACTTCTATATGTCATCGAGCCGTCAGCCATGAACATTTAACAGCAAAATGTGATTATCTTTGGAGCTCTGCTTAGAAATATGTATGTTTGAAAGTTCTTGTTAGAGACCGAACCAGGGGCCAGTTACAACACATGTTGAGAACCATGTTCCACCTCTAATGTTCTGCGTATAGCTGCGGCCAAATAGACCCACTTCAACGTTTCCCCACAGTCATTGACTAGACAAGAGTTGATTCTGCAGTCTTTAGTTTGGTCTGTCTTTTTGCAAATTTTATTTGTATTGCAATGTATGTCAGTTATTTACTGTTTTATACTCTGAGTTAAATAAAAAAAAAAATAATAATACAAGGACAAAGTTGAACTCATGACATCAGAAACAAAGATGAATGCATTAGACATTTAAGAAGTGCTTCCTGACATTTACTTCAAAACCCACAAGCATTATTGTGTAGTATATAAAAGTTAAAGAATATAATGTATATTAAGACATTTTACTGGATCAATTAATATACAGCACTAATTAGTTTCTATGAAGACATTTCATATTATATTTTTCTATATTATCATTTTTTAACATATACCAGCGTCTGATGACAGGTGTCTGTATGAGGAGTTTAAGTTGTTGACAAATATATAAACACCTATATCCGCTTACAGAAAGGGATGAGTGGGATCAATAAGCTAAATGATTCAACATTGCTCACCCCACTAGTCGATGGAAGGACATTTTTTACTAATTTTATTCTTGTATATTGCTGTTTAATTATAAAATGTTACACAACTGCCTGTCACTAGGTGGGGCTGCAGCTCGGAAGGACATCAGCCCAACCCATCCTTGCAGCGTTTACGTTAAATGTCTTGTGCACCTCTCAAACAAACAGATGTTTCCTCCATTCTTCCATTAGTTCTATAAAATATCACGAATTTTAAAAATGCCCATCACAAGTCCAAGATAGCATTTCTGAATGTCTTGGGCTGTCCAACACACCAAAACTAAAAGATGTTTAGTTTACAATCATACAAAACAAATAACCAATACATTTTTCACACTTATGCTTTAACAAACTTTTGAAAGATTTTTACATTTTTGATACCCAAAAAAAAAAAAAAAAAATATATATATATTGTTGGTAGAAAATGTTTTTCTTTTCTATCCATTATACTTGGATGAAACCCTGGCAGTGATAAAGATCTGGTTCATTTATGGCACATGTGGCTGGAAAAAACTGGATACAATGTTATGACGTAGCTTCATATTCCATTTGTATCAAAATTCAAGTACTCAACAAAAAGGTATTGATGGATGATGTTTTTTCAAATAGATGGAAATAAGTGTGGGTGCATGTGTGTGAAGCTAAAAACAAGTGCTAATGAAGCTTTAAAGGGGGGGGGGGGTATGCTATGCTTGGATTTAAAGGGAAGAAGTGGACTACTCCCATGGTCCTTTGCTGTTACAGTGGTGGATATGCTGCTTTTTGTCAATGTCTTTTCCAGTAGTCTCTCCTGTGACAGTCCTCAGAGGGCGGTGCTGAGTAGTCCTGACTTCATGTAGGTTTCGTTTGGCAACAAGCTCTGTTTGCCTTCGTCTGACGGGTCTGGAGTGTGCTGTTGGAGGAGAGAGGGAGAGAAATGGTCCACTTGCACGAACAGCTGTATACACGCAGTTTGATAAGCAGTGTGCGGACGTCTTACGTGTCTGCGGAAGATTCGGTTCAGCAGGCTGCGTTTGGGGCTGTCTGGGGCCTGTGACCAGTCCAGGTCTGGGCTTCGGGTCCCGACAGGGCCAAACATATTCAACTCCTGAAAACATCCTGTCTCTATTACCTAGAGGGACGAAAGAAAGATCTTAACTCTCCTTTTTTAAAATACATGATAGATTATATGATGTGTGTGGGAAATGAACACACCTCATTTTGCCAGGTTATAGGAACGCTGCCTGTGTTGAACTTGGAGTAGAAGTCATTGTCTGTATGGTCCAGAGTGACTCCCTTCACTGTAGAAAACTCTTCAATGTCCTGCACATCACTGCAGTACACCTGTCTGGGCTGGAGGAGTAAAAAACAATCACTGTTATAACCTACATCCACATTTATTCAAGCACATCTAAACCTACTCTACATATTTTAGAGCCATAATCACTGGCTGTTTTTGTTATTGAGATTTGACTCCAATGTGTTGAACCTTATTATGGATCAAAATTATATATTTTATAGCGTAAGCACCACCTCAAACTCAAACTGAAGATTAAAATGCTGGACACCACTGTGCAAGAAAAATATAAAATTATGTTTGTGTCCTTTTTTGAGCGGTGACAGGGTTCGGCTCATTCAGTAGGTCGCCCCCTATATTTTGTTATTTAAACTACAGTTCATTCATTAATTCTACACTTCCATGCCAGAATTACAGAAGACAAAGTGAATTATGTTGGAGAATCTAAACCAGCAAAGGTATGTATGACTTTATTAGAGACTAGGAATCTATAATTATTACTAAATTGGTTATCAACTCTCAATTAAATAAGATTTAAGGGAAGGGAAAAAAGACGTTTATTAACTGAAATACCAAAACCATGTTTATATTTTCTGTTTATATTTTCCATGATTATTATTATTATTATTAATGCTAAGCATCATAATTTACAAAACTTTTAAGGCAATTATTGGACAATTCTGAACCAGTAAGACAAAATGTTATTAATTCCCTTAAAAAAGTGGCTTGTTAGAAAGTGGTACCAAATCCAATTATGCTTTATCACAATTAAAATTGCATTTTGACTAGAACTACTTCTTTTAACTTCTTTTGCACTGTGTAGTTGTCATTATTGTATAATGTATGCTTCTCCTGTGCCCATGTGAATATGACTTGTGTCTAAACCAATCAGGCTTGGGTACTTGCATCGGGTTTAAACGGAGGTGGGACCAGTCCCGCCTCCAGCATCCTGAAGTTGATTTTGTTAAAGAAAGGATGTGACTGGACTTCTTTCCCCTTTGACCCCAGGCATCCCAACCTCTGCGTCGGGTCCTTGGTCAGCAGCTACAGCACAGGAGGGAAGGAAACCAGGTCAATTCTTATCGCTGAAAGAAAGTTGTATTTGCACTTGATTGACTTTTGAGTTGTGACAGCGGTCAGTTGAGCAGATCTGATGATTTCTGAGCACTCACCAAGGAGCAGATGTCTTTCACCTCCCTGCTGAACTTGTGACTATATTCCTCCTGCTGCGTCTGAATCCGTCGCTCCATCTCTGAGGTACTTGGATGCTCTCCTCGGGCTCTGAACGGCAGCTGCCCTGACGTCATTTCGTAAATCAGACAGCCGAGGCCCCACCAGTCTGCACTCATCCCATAAAGATCGTGGCCGATAACTTCGGGAGCTGAAATCAGTATTCAGATGAATAAACCTTCTACTCTGCTGCAGCCTGCATTACAGTTGCACACTTGTAGATACAGGAGGTGTATTTTCAGTCTATAGTCTGCAGGTTTAAACTAAAGGAAAGAAAACTAATTCCAAAGAAAAGTCTTTGGAAGAAACAGGCCGACTCTGAGGCATCTCAGCAGCGATTCAATCTGTTCAGTTGTCTGTTTGCACCGTCACAGAACTGTGTCAAACCGCTGCTCTGAATGCACAACACGACTGACCTTTTATTAGAGAATTGACAAATGAAACACAATTCCCAGATACCCAAAGTCCTGTTTAATTAAATTCTACACACTGAACCTTTAAATTAGATGGATGCTCTATTGCTCGAGTCAGTTTTTTTCTCACAGCTCTACCCAAATCTGCCCAAATCCCCAAACCCCATAGTTTTATAGGAGACTGTTCCAAAGAGGTTTAAGAGGGAGTTAAACTCAAACATCACGTGGGATAACAGACATTTCATTATCTGTTATTGTTTTGTAGCTCACACAGTCATGACTTATTTGTTCATGAAGAGTGCAGAAAATATTGAAGATTAAAATATTTCATTATCAGGTGTATTGACAATGTTTGATGGTCATTACCATGTTTTGGCACCTTCATCATATGTGCAACAGTTACAATAATCGTTACATAGCTTTCTACATATTTATGAAATTTAGAAATCACTAAATCAAAGTGGTTTCCCTCCAAATGTAAATGAATGTAATACAAATAATTCTACAGACATTTTTTAGAAACAGTTTGTAAAAAGAAAATGCTAAATAATCTGGTAAATAATGTACATTTATTAGATAGAGCTTTTATAGTTCCACTCGAAGCCATACCCCGACCCTGACTGGTTTAGACACAAGTCATATTCACATGGGCAGCAACAGGAGAAGCATTCAGATACATTATGCATCTAGGGCAGCAATGAGAGCAGCCCAGTTGTTGGGGACAATTTAAGGTTCTTGCCCAAGGGCACTTTGGCATGGGGAACTGACAAGACTGGGATTGAACAGCTGACTTTCTAGAGGAAGACCCGTGTCTCTATCCCACAATGCTCTTTTGTGAACATTAGGAGTTGAAGATAAGCAACTGTGGAGCCAATTCTGCGGACGGTGCCATTAAACCAAACGCAGAAGAAGAGGACACAACGAGATGAGATAATTAAAAAAACACCAATCAAAACTCCAACGGTGTAAAACATGATGGAAATGACATGATGACATTTCTGTGTGATTACTGTCTCCTCTGGTCAAATCAGCTTTTTTTTAAAGATTTTTTTTTGAATATGTGCATAATCACCCATTTAATTGAAGAGGGAGGAAACTTGTTGGTGCATCTGTGTGTGCAGCTCATCAACGGATACACTGCAGTAGGTTTAACTTCACTGTGAAAAAACATTCTGCAGTTTGCTTTTTATCTCTGGAAGAGTTTGGTTTTGTCCACAGTGAGGATAGCAGCCGTACACAGCTTCTATCCCGGCTCTTGTTCAGGGAAAACAGCCTCTGTGCTCTTCTGCTCAGATGGAAACCTCCAGACTCACAGTCCTCATGGGACTTAGGGTGGGATTAAACAATGTGAGTTACATACGTACCCATGTAGCCCAGCGTGCCCACCCTGCCTCGCACCAGACTCCCCTCAGAGAGCCTCACAGCCAGGCCCAGGTCGGAGATGCGGATGTGTCCTTCAGGGAACAAATAGATGAGAAATCACTGAGCTGGTTTCGTGGTTGAGTTTTTTTCTGTTGTGATGCACTTTCCCTTTTGACCCTGTCAATCACTGCATCCCTCCCCTCCAGCTATACTGGCTCTGCCTTTTGTGAATGCGTAAACACTAAGGCATGTCATAAAGGTGGTTCCACAGGTGCTGAGGTTTCTTAAAAATAGATACCACACCTGATTCCCTAAGGCTTTCACTTCCTCAACCTGCCTGTGTTTGTGCTCTTGTCAAAATACCTTTAACTGCTTCCTCCTTCGTAGATGCATCCTGAATCTGATTGGCCGAGTGATTTTTCTGGCCAAACTTGAACTGTTATCCTTTTTGTCATTCAATCTGATTTTGTTTAAAAATAGCTGCATCAAAATTTGCTGTGAAAACATTTCATCGTGTTCCGCCTGTGCAGCCTGGAATGTGATCTGCTTCAAGGTTATTATCAAGCGTTAGTCATTGAGTCACACTCAAGAACAGACAAAGGGTGTTTACTGTGGCTGTACATACCGTTGTCATCCAGCAGAATGTTTTCTGGTTTCAGATCTCTGTAACACCGGACGCGACATTATGACTCAGTAACCTCCTGAACACAACATGTGGCATTGAGCAGTACCAATGTGGAAATACACTGACCTGTATAATATCAACTTCTGATGAAGATGCATCAAACCACAGCAGACTTCTGCAGCGTAGAAACACGCTCTGTCTCTATCCAGGCCGGGAACTCCGATGTTATAAATGTGATACCTCAAGTCCCCACCGCTCATCATGGTCAGAACCATACAGAGGGCGTGCTTGGTCTCATAAGCGTACGCCATGTTCACCTTAAAAGAGGCCGAGAGAAAGTGCATGGACAAGTAAAAGTTGATTAGGCTTAATACGGCTTGATAAGGGACACAGTAAAATATGAACAATACATGATCATCAGCACAGACAAAAAAGACAAAACTAAAATAAAAAGAGATCATACAAAACATATAACAAAAAGCGAAATCTGTTAAAATCATGTGTTTTCTATAAAAATATGATTTATGCAATAATTTAAAAACAGGTTAAGTGCTGGCAAGTCTGCTCTCCTCAACAAGGAATTCCAGAGGGTAGATGTCCTCGTGGCATCAGCCCGCTCACTGGAACTACTAGCAAGAGTTGATTAGATCTTAAATCACTTTGTGTTCCATTACACGTCAGAGCTCGCCCCTCGGAATGGCGTCACACCGGAATAACACAAGCTTGTAGTGTTCCAGTTGCACAGGAACAATGTTAACGCTAGCCAGCTTGCCTTTGTTAGTCGAAAACAGTTCATAATAATACTAATACTGTAGTAAAATATCCACATGGAATGTCGCATTCGTAGCACCCTCGTAGTATAACTGAGGCCAGACTGTGGTGACCTGTAGAAGTTATAAAGAAATCTTAAAATCAATCATTAATTTAACTAGCAGTCAATGCAGTGAGGTAAGAATGGGAGAGATGTGAGCCCTATGCTTGGTTTAGGTTAGAATGCAATCAGTTTGAGGTCAGGACACTGAGGATCGACTGGTACATGTATATAAGTTCAGGGGTGAGGAGACAGAGGCAATAGCTTTTATTCTCCAGTATTTAAATTTAGACTTGTTAAACAACTTAGCTGCTGGAAAAAGGAAATAGCTCCTGTTGTTTGAACTCACCCTTTTTTTAATAAGCAAAGATTGTTGTTGCCAAGGCGTTGCCTTTTGCATGTTCCATCATTAAATAGCTCTGGGCGTCTATTCTTGAGATTCACCCATGACGCTCTCATTGAGACCTAGATGAAGCTCTACCAAAGTGATGGGGGTGTGGATAAAGAAGCTGCAGCCTGGGATGTATGCTTGATGCAGAGCTTGAAAACAACCAAATATACCATTTTTATTTTATTATGTTACTTAAAGATTATCTGTTCCTGATCCCTTACTTTTTCTAGATTGGCACACAGTAGAGTACATACTGCCGCAAACACCCAAGGCCCTGATTTTTGTTTGGATCAACACCAGATTGGACAGGCTCATATATAGCAGTCCCCTAAATATGCTTGCTTCAAGATCCATCAATTGAAACGTCAGTAAAAGTGAAAGAAAAAATTATCCTGGATCCTCCCCTTTATCTGGATCCACACCAGAATTGAATGGCTTCTTTCTGTGACCCTTGTCCCATCTTTCCACCAGGTTCTGTTTAAATCTGTTTATCTATAGTTTTTGTGTAATCCTGCTGACAAACAAACTAGCTAATGGACAGGGGCGAAAACAGCACCCCCATGGCTCCTAGGTAAAAATGGAGGGTCCACATTTGTCCAACACAAGCAAGCAGGCAAAAGGCTAAAGGATCCAACAGCCAGAACACAAGTGTTGAAATCTCACCACAAATCGACTGTCCAACCCTTCCAGGAGCTGCTTCTCATTGAGAGCCATGGTCTCTCCTCGCCGCTTCTTCACATGGGTCTTCTCCAGCTTTTTGCAGGCGTACATCATTCCTGTGGCTCGCACCTGACAAGCCCACACCTGGAGAGAAAAACCCGGTTTGATCAAAGATGCTAACATTGTGGCAAATTTGTCTTGGGGACTGATGGCAGAGTCAAATCTGCTGAGAAATTGACGATGGACAGAAAAATGGCCGCTTCCTGAGGTTAGTACTGTAGCGGCAAGGAACTGTCCTCACTTAGTATAGTAAATAAGAGCTTAAAAAATACTTTACTTATTTGGGAAACTATTTAATTTTTTAAAAAAGAAGTAGGTTAATCACCATGTTGTTGATTAGTTTATCCTTTTGTTCTTGATGCTCAAGCTTCACAAACACTTTATAACTGTTGTCTTTTAAATCTGATGATTCCATGACTGATTTTTCAAGTAAGGGACAGATAAAGCATAAGCTGTCTTGAATCGTAGATGCCACCAGATTTAAAAGAGAGCATGTGTTTTTGATTTGGGAGAACAGACCCTGAAATCCATAACAGAGAGTGATGTTGTACTTAAACTGTTGTGACTGTGACTCACCTCACCAAACCCTCCTTTCCCCAGAAGTCTGTACTGTCTGAATTTCTGCTTGCTGATGGGCTCCCTTAAAGAAAAAGCATTGTCATTCACACAAAGTCTGGAGAAGATCTGTGAGATAAATGTGGCACAGAATCAACAGTGTGTTCTGTGTCATGCCTCCTCTGGTGGGTGAACACACACACACACACACA